GCTTCTTAGGACCATTACAGTACTGGGAGATGTAGAAAAACAAAACTGAATTGTATCGAGGTCAAAGGCCACCTGTGCGAGCTGTTGTACCAGTAACGCGTTTAAAAGCTCGCAGTGGTGAACACGTCCGTGTGATCTGAGGACACATCGATCTGTGCTGTCATCCAGTGAGTTGTAGAGTGTGTTCCTCAGAGCTCAGGGAAGTTTGCCGGTGTTTCCTGTTGTCTGTTAGTTGAACTTCCCTGTGTGTCATTGCTTAGATTGAGTTCAGCTGTGTCTTGTTACTGTGACGGTTCCACTCTCCCTGGTTGCCTTCTGTGTGTGTTTAAACCTTCACGTTGCTTCTTTTCTGTGTCGCTCTTATTTGCTCTCTTCTCTTGTGTTCTTGGACGTTTCTACGCTCCGGCTCTGCGTCGGCTGTTTGTGGTTTCCTTGAGTCCAGTGCAGCGTCTGCGTTTTATGGCTTTAGTGTCTTTTTGAAAGCTGTTGTGATGCAAAAGCTTTTTTCCTACTGAGCTGCCTTCTTGTCATGACAAACAAAGAAGCAGGAAACTGTCTCATGTTTCCAGTTCTGACTAATAAAGCCTGTATAGGATGGTTGTGATGCCATGTTTCCGAGGTCACATTTTTCAGTGCTTTAATGCTGATATGCAGCATTTACCTCATGGAGCATTATTTATGAGTGCACTGCATGTACGCTTGAATCTGTTCATTATGTCGTAGATATGACAGAGTGTCGGCTTGACGGTGTAGTCGGACACGTCAGCACCGCGAGTGTTTCACAGAATCCACTTCTGCTTTCGCTGTAAGGGCTGTGAAAGCCTGATGTGCTGTAGTCACAGTTTGTGTTCAGACTGAATGCAGCCAGGTGAAGTGTCTGTAATGTCTCCAGCCCTGGCTCACTTTACTGTGTGTGTGCGTCTTCAGCCACCGCTGCTCGTCTCACATGTGTGCAGTGATACGCAGGTCTTACCTGTGGGACACGAGCAGCTTTGTCAAACCCAAACAGCCCAGCGTCTCTGCTGTGGTCTCAGCTGCAGCTTTTTGAGCTCGCTGTGGTGAAGCTGTTTGTCTCTTCCTCTTCACAGAGCATCTACACAACAGTACTGCTTTGTCCTGCTCTGTGCGTGGGGCGTCATGAAAAGCTTTGTGTTCTGGGATACGTACGGTTACGTTTAACAGCTCGGATCAGGTCAACAGCTCAACCTCAGTGCAGTCTGCTTCGCTTTGACTGGAAGAAATTCTCAATCCACAACAAAGTCATCAAACGCAGCAATTTAAAGAGCAAACTTATTTTAGTAAGGTGTACACTTTATGTGTCCTTTCCGATAAAATGGGTGAATAATGGCAAATGACGTGTTTTGTTGTTTGTGTAAAGGCTGCATGTGCAGTCTGTCTGCAAACCAAGTGAGAAGTTATTTAGAACAGAAGTCTGAGTGGACACTGTAAGGTCTGCTTGTACCGGGCAGGAAAAACATCATCTTTCATATCTGCGGTGAGGAGACGACGCAAAGATCCTGATGCAACTACTGCTTTATTAAGCTGGCAGGAATAGTTTTGTTGTGGAGGGTGAAAAGCAGCCTCAGCATTCATTTGGAGGCTAGTTTGCTCACCAGCTTTGTGCTTTCAAACCTTCGGACCGTGCCGTATGCAGTACCCCTGTCCCACAGGAACAATAGCTCGTGGCATACAGAATAAACTTCTGAATGCCCGGAGATGAAAACCACCTTAGCGTGTTCAGATTCGTATCTCCGAGCGGTGGCTAATTCCACTCTCTGACTGTAATTTGAATAATCTGATGCGCTGCCGTTTCTGCTTCCTCGGCAGCTTTAGCTCCAGGTTGGGCTGGAGGTGTGAGAGGGTACATTTCGGTTCACTCTGTGTAAGTGGCTCTTTCATCTTCACTGCTCACTGTGGCCTGCACACAAACTGAGGATGCAGACCGTTACTGCAGCCTACTGTCCTTCCCCCTCTCTGAATTACAAAGCAGAAAACATGAAACACAACCATGATGATCACTCCAACGGGTGAGTAACACTTTTACAAGCAGCTCTTAAGTGTCAATTTATTGTAAAGAGGAGTCAGCCCTGTGTGGTGTTCACACTCTGAGTGAAAGACGCTAATATCATCCTACACACGCTGCGTATCATCTTCCATGTTGCTGCTGGTGAGGAACTGACGCTTCCTCTGACTCGCGATCCGTGTTGGCGTCTCATCTTTACTCACATTTGGTCTTTCTCCATCCCCGGTGTGACACAAACATGCAGTCACTCACGCATACACCCTGACATTTAGAGCCAACAGCAGGAGCGGAAAGAATTATAAAAATGTTCAGTTCGAACGTTCATAAACTCTGATTTTATCGGTCATGGGACAGGGAAAAAAGGTGCTCCCTCTTTGTAAATGTGCCCAATACAAAAGTACATCAGGAACAAATGGTCGTCACCACTGAGCTGCAGCCATGTTTGTTTAGTTCAGCCCAGAATGTGATGCCCACATATGTGGACGCAGGTCCTGGGAGGATAATGACAGAGACATAAACAGTTACCCGTCTCAGTTAAAGAAAGACATTCAGCCTTGCTAAGTTTTTATTTTGTGTGTGTTGGCTGACTTTGCGTGTCGATTCAGAGTCGGTGTGAACAACGTTGTCTCATTCCCCCGTCGTCAGGGCGTCAGCCCCCTGGTACCTGTCCAGCACCCGTCAACATGAACAGCAGGTGATGAAAGTGTTTCTCCATGTCTGCTCTGTGTGTAACTACATAAACAATTATGCCAACGTGTATTTGTTTGAATAGCTTTCATCCGTGCCTTGTTTTAATGTTTTAAAACAAAAGTTTCAAATCACTTTTTCATGCTTGGATGAAACATCGGCCTGCATTTCTGTGATATTCTCACAAAAGTAGTAGAAAAGTGATTCTGTGTAGTGATGGGATTTCCAACTCTTTTTAGAGAGCCGGCTCTTCAGGTTGTTTTGTTGCTTTAATTAATTAATTAATTAATTT